TTTACAACCCCCCCCACACACACACACACACAGCCTCTGCCTAGGGAGCAGCTGACATCATTCCCAACTGAAAATTCCAACTGCCTTGGGGGGGTGAGTTTGAGGTGTGGAATGGAGTGTAGTCCAATCAGCTTCCATATGTAAATGACCTTGGAACGCTGGCCGGGACTGCACAAAGCAGCCAATGAACCCAGCCAGTGTCTTCCGAGTGGCAGTTTTTTCGGCCTAACACTAAAGGGGCCAATTTTAGAATTCTGGCACCCACTACTCTTTTATAATAAGGGAGAGATAAGCATCCCAGCATTCAACAAAGCTGAGCATTCAACAATGCATACTCTTAGTTCCCATTCTGGAAAATAGGAACAAAGACATGCCTCACAGGTCTTTGTAAAACTGGCCTGACAGTACTTTATGTGCAAACATGATAAGAGTCACTGGTAGTATCTTCTAAACATGTACCGCTCAAAACTGTTATTCATTCTAGGAAGCATCCCACAGGCCTTCCCAGCACCCCAACTGATACAAAGTAAGATGTGACTAAACTTCACATGACCACCGAAGGAAGACAGCAAACGTCTGACTAGGGCGCCTGTGGAGCAAGCCAGTGTTGCAATGCCTGTGTGTTTTAAGACTCACATCAATGCCCTCATCTTCTAAGCATTTCCACTGTGCCTCAACCAAGCAACAAACAACAGCTTCTGCAAAGGAATGCCTCACAAGGCTGAAGCATTTTCTCCTGGGGGATGGGAGCAGAATCCTCGGGAAGGCTGCGCTCCGACCTACGCTGAAATAGGGGCAAAGATCTCCTGAACTCTCCGCGACACTCGCTTCCCAGAGGAGGCTGTAGAAGCAGAAGCCGTGCGCAGGCGCCGCAAGGAAAGGGTGTCAGCTCAATGCCGCCGCCGCTTTACGATCCAAACTCACCCCCCTCACCTTACTCAACCTAGCAGCTCGCTGCCTTCCACAAGCTTAGCAGCAGGCGCGCCCCGGCCCCGCACCCTCTCAAGCCATAGGGCGCAAGGGGACAGCACACACCGCACAACAAGTTTCGCCGTGCCGGCTTTCTCGACTAGGTTTGGCGTATCCGGGTTTCACACACTCACCTGCCCAGCCGGAGGCGGCGGCGGCGGCAGCTCCTACTCGTCCTGAGCCGCCACAGTCTCCTCCCCCTGCTACTCTTTGCGGCCAGCGCGGCGGCTACTCCTACTCTGTCACCTTTTCCACAGGTAACTCATGTGCAACTCCTAAACCCTAGGTTGTGCCGGCGCCAGACCCTTGCCAGCTGGCTAACAGGACGCGCGCTTTCACTCACTAACCGGGACCGGAGGAGGGCCGGCGGATTACCAAGGCAACAGCTTCCCTCCCTCCTTCCCAATACTGTTCCCGCCCTCTAAACGTGGTCAGCCAATCCCATGGGAGCTTGTGAGAGAAGAACCAATTAAAACAGCCCCCAAACCATCGTCTCCAGATTTGGCGACAGGAGATTGGAGTTCTTCTGTGGTTAGAGCGAGCTACGGCAGCGGCAAAGGAGAAGCGCCTCCAATGCGCAGCTGGTTTGTGTGGGTAGTGGAGAGACTGCTGCGATGATGAAGTCTCCTTGCAGCTGGAAAAGGGGCATGGATCGTGGGTAGGAAGGAAAATATCGCGTAACTGAGGGAGGGAAGAGGTCATTTGTACGAGGGCAGAATTAGGAGAGCATAGTGAGTAACCAGGCTTGGAAGAACACTGCTTAACGCAGTGGGGTCTGTTTCAGTGTAAATATAGGATGGTGCCTTAAATACGTGCTGGCGCACCGCGTGGGATCAAATAGTGAAAACAGAATTAGTGGGTTAATTTTCTATAATTTATTTAATCAATTAAACCTGTGTTAATTAAGTTAAGCTGAAACAGTGTCTTCTCTGTGCAGTTTATGGAGAAACTACTTAATGTTTGAAATAAGAAGTGTTTATGCTCTTAGTAGAGGGAGAGTAATAAGATTATGTGACCATTGGTGCCAACCTAAGCAGAGTAACTCATTCCTGAGCCCCGTTCGCTTAAAAGGCTGCTTAGAATGGCACTGCAAAAGAGTAATCTCAAGCAGTTCTGCTTGTTGAGCTGTATGGCCAGGGAAGTGTTCTTAGAACTGCATTGCAAGTTATCAGTAGAGGTGGATGGCTGTTTCAGTTCTGGGACAGAGAACCCATTGTACCTTACAAGGGGGGGGAAAGTGTTGTGAAGTGAAAAATGCAAAATGGTCACAACAAGACAGTGAATTCTAATATATTTTCCCTGACAGAAGCCCCTAGGAGGTGTTTTGAACTCAGGAGATTTGGCTTGGCACTAAGTTCTTGTTAACATAAAACATGCCTCTAACAGTTTTTATTTTGGACCATTAGAGGACCAATGTACGTATGGACCATTGTACATATGAAATTAAACTCCAGAGCACGATGGAAGACAGGAGGGCCTGGTGTGAGGTGGTCCATGGGGTCGCGAAGAGTCAGATTTGACTGTGCGACTGAACAGCAACAACAACATTACATGGAGCACTGAAAACTTTAAAAATTTGTTCTTGGGGGTCTTGGTGGTATTAGCATTAAAATTATTATCATCCACTTCGTTTTTCCATCTAACTCTGCATCACCTCTGGATGGGGTGGGATGTCATTCAACATCATAATTTTTATGCACAGAAACAAGTTTTGTTATTGTAACACCCAACTCAAAGTGATGACTAAATGTTTCTCTCGAAGATGCAATGCACAGATATTCAGCAAATTATATTTAAAGACTTTTGTTGGATCTTCTTAAACACTACTTCAGACTCTTACAAGATTAGCTATGAGTGGGAGTTAGATAAAACCCAACATCTTTATGATGAGTTGAGGCACTGGAAGGATTTTGGGGTGTGGGGAATTAGGGATACTTTGAATAGTGGCAGTTTTTACTGGGGACCCCAAAACTGAGGAGGGAGTTTGGGAAGGAAGGGGGTGGAATTCTTCACAAGGATGCATTTTGGGCAACTGAGTTTTCTTGGCTAATTGCTGAACAAGTGACAGGGATGGAGAGAGCATGGGGGCCCCTAAGGAGACAGTGATACTGCCTGTATTGGTGCCATTTCCTTTGCCTCAAACCCCAATATTTCTCCCTGAAAGGACTTTTTTCATTTTGTTTTTAAATGGGAATTGTTAGATCAACATTACAAAGATCTATTACTACAATCTTTTAGTCCCCAGCTTTTTTATTTATTTATTTATTTTTAAAAAACAAGTCCCTGGCCCTTTCATTGCCAACTTATAACAGGAAAAATGCAAGCATCCGATTTCTAGTTATAACTCAGCAAGGAGAAGGGTTGTTTTAGCTGGGAAGTAAAAGATTGTATAACTTGGAAGGAGAAATGAATGCAAGTGTCTTTCCTAAAAGTGCTTTAGTTTGCCTGTACTCCATTATTCTAATGTTTGCCCTCTGTGCAATAGGACTGGATGTTTAATGAAGAACTGCAGGTCTTTGACATGGACTGGGTGGAAGCATTGCTACTGCAGAGCACAACTTCCTTACCTCCCACTACAGCCCAAAATGCTCCCTGTAATGCTACTTCTGGGGTATGGAGAACCACTTGGAAATAGCATTTTTAGGTTATGGAGGAAAGGGGAGGTGAGAAGGTCAAGCTTTGTGGGCCATTTGCAAGCCAAACTTTCTTCTGTTGCTGTTGTCACTTTAACCTTCGGCAGACCGACAATGAGCATGAACTATGTTTGATATTCCAGGGGCTTTACAAATAGCAGAGGAAAGAAGGAAAGCGAAAGGCAAAGGCGAAAAGGAAAGATTTACACAACTGAATGCAGATTTCCAGAGAACAGCAAGGAGAGATAAGGAGGCCTTCCTGAATGAACAATGCAAAGTAATAGAAGAAAATAATAGAATGGGAAGGACTAGAGATCTCTTCAAGAACATTGGAGAAATCAAGGGAGCGTTCCATGCAAAGCTGGCCATGATAAAGGATAAAAACGGTAGGGACCTAACAAGCAGAAGAGATTAGGAAAAGATGGCAAGAATACACAGAAGAACTATACAAGAAAGACCTCAATGTCCTTGACAACCACGACGGTATAATCACTGACCTCGAGCCAGACATCCTGGAATGCGAATTACTAACAACAAAGCTAGTGGAGGTGATGGTATTCCAGCTGAGCTATTCAAAGTCTTAAAAGATGATGCTGTTAAAGTGGTGCACTCAATTTGCCAGCAAATTTGGAAAACGCAACAGTGGCCACAGGATTGGAAAAGGTCAGTATACATTCCAATCCCAAAGAAGGGCAATGCCAAGGAATGCTCAAACTATCGCACAATTGCACTCATATCACACGCTAGCAAGGTCATGCTCAAGATCCTACAAGCTAGGCTTCAACAGTACGTGGATAGAGAACTACCAGAAGTACAAGCTGGGTTTCGAAGAGGTAGAGGAACTAGAGATCAAATTGCCAACATTCGCTGGATTATGGAGAAAGCAAGAGAGTACCAGAAAAACATCTACTTCTGCTTCATTGACTATGCTAAAGCCTTTGACTGTGTGGATCACAACAAACTATGGCAGGTCCTTAAAGAGATGGGAGTACCAGACCACCTCACATGTCTCTTGAGAAACCTGTATAAGGGCCAAGAAGCGACAGTTAGAACCGGATATGGAACAACTGATTGGTTTCGCATAGGAAAAGGAGTACGACAAGGATGTATATTGTCACCTTGCTTATTTAATATATATGCAGAGTACATCATGCGAAATGCTGGCCTAGATGAATCACAAGCAGGAATTAAGATTGCGGGGGAAAAGATCAACAACCTCAGATATGCAGACGATACCACTCTAATGGCAGAAAGTGAAGAGGACCTAAAGAGCCTCTTGCTCAGGGTAAAAGAGGAGAGCGCAAAAGTGGGCTTGAAGCTCAACATCAAAAAAACTAAGATCATGGCATCCGGCCCCATCACTCCTTGGCAAATAGAAGGGGAAGTCGTGGAAGTAGTGACAGACTTCACGTTCCTGGGATCCCAGATCACCGCAGACTGTGACAGCAGCCATGAAATTAAAAGACGACTGCTCCTTGGGAAGAAAGCGATGGCGAACCTAAACAGCATGATAAAAAGTAGAGACATCACCCTGCCAACAAAAGTCTGCATGGTCAAAGCAATGGTATTCCCAGTAGTCATGTATGGCTGCGAGAGTTGGACTATAAGGAAGGCCGAGCGCCGAAGAATAGATTCTTTTGAACTATGGTGCTGGAGAAAACTCTTGAGAGTCCCTTGGACTGCAAGAAGATCAAATCAGTCAATCCTAAAAGAAATCAACACTGACTGTTCCCTGGAAGGCCAGATAATGAAACTGAAGCTCAAATACTTTGGCCACCAAATGAGAAGGGAGCACTCACTGGAGAAGACCCTGATGCTGGGAAAGATTGAAGGTCAAAGAAGAAAGGAACGGCAAAAGATGAGATGGTTAGACAGTGTCATAGATGCAACGAACATGAAATTTAGCAAACTTCAGAGGACAGCAGAAGACCGGAAGGCCTGGCGTGATCTGGTCCATGGGGTCGCGAGGAGTCAGACTCGACTGTGCGACTGAACAACAACAAGTTGGGCACTAAAATGAGAGCTGCAGCACTTGGTAAAGGGCAGGTTAACATTTCCCCTGCACTGTTTATATCAAAAATGTTCACCACCCCCTGGAGAAAGGCCTTAGTAGGGAAA